ATATATAAGTTTACCTAAACTTACTTCTTTCGATAACTTAAATTTTACATCAAATTTTAATGATTTAACTATTCAATTTAAAATTCTTAATATATGGACAAAATTTGCAAATTTTTAAAAAATTTGAAAATCATTTTATACTTTATTTCATTAACTCAAATTAATGCATATAATAATTTTATGATTATCCGTTAATTTAAATTAGTAAAAAAATATTAAATAATTCTTAAGCTTTTAAAAAAATTATAGACTTAATTTATGTATTAAAATTTTTAAATTTAACTATTAAAATTTAATATAAAAATAAATTATTAAATAAAATAAATTTAGATAAGTAAGTCATTTATTTATATATATATATATATATATGAATTGAAAGATTACTATTGATTCAAAGGCGAGCAAGTCATTTTTTGTACGAGCTGTAACGGTGTCGTTCTTTGTTAGAAGAGCTCTTTGCACGGGCGACTCCGAGAATGATGGAGGAGACACAAGAACGATGCCTGAGTTTTCCCCGAGGTGCAGATAATACACACTAGTTAGAAGATGGATCGGTCATCACTGATGAAGAAAGAAAAAAATTGCGGAAGCCATTACCAAAGTTGCAAAAAAAAAGTAAAATAACATTTTATATTCTTGAAATGATTGGTGTGAAAAATAGAAGACAGAAAGCTCATATATTTTCTTTTGGTGAGAAGAGAAAGCTCATATAAGAGCTAACTAACAATCTAATTAAGATAAAACAGAAAATAAATAATTAATTGAGTTTTTTAACTATAAAATGGCTAATAAATCAGTTGATTGGTGGAACACCCACTTCTATATTTCCTTCCAACATGTGTACCACCATTTTCATAGATGGTCGAAGAGTTGGGTTGGGATTTATGCACCATAAACCAACCATTGTCATTCTTTCGAACCTCTTGAAATCATTTTCAACTTCAAGATCATGAATCACTGTGGTTCTTAAATTGTTTTCTTTTGCCAGACATAAAACCCAATCTATGAGTATCATGTCATCACCATTTGTTTCATCCTCAATTTGATGCAACTCAATGTGCCTTCTGCAAAATATGATTTCCAACAACATGACACCAAAGCTGTAGATATCAACTTTTGAAGTAACAGGTGCATTTTTGAGCCATTCTGGTGCCATATATCCCATTGTCCCTCTAGCATTGGTGTTTGTTCGAGTTTTATCTTTCATCAGTAGCTTTGCCAGTCCAAAATCAGAAATCTTTGCAGTGTAGCTTGAGTCAAGAAGGACATTCTGAGGCTTTATGTCACAATGGATGATTTGTTGGTCACACTCTTCATGGAGATATAACAAGCCTCTGGCAATTTCAAGCACAATTCTAACTCTACCCTCCCAGCTGGGTTTACCCCCTTCCCCAAAAAGAAAGTTGGATAGTGTCCCATTTTCCATTTTCTCATAAACCAGAAGCCTATGATTCTGCTCATTGCAAAAGCCCAATAACCCAACAAGATTTCTATGATGAGTGAGAGCAATAACTTGAACTTCTGTAACGAATTCTTTCTCACCTTGGTCTTCTAATTGCTCTAATTGTTTGACAGCAACCTCAACCTGTTGACCCTCCGAGATTAAAATCCCACCATAGACTGTACCATAGGCACCTCGACCGAGTTTGTCCTTGAATCCATTTGTTGCTTCTCTTAGCTGCTGGAATGAGAAGGCCTTTAGATTGATATCCACAGGCTTTGGCTTTGGCGGTGTCCTTTTGTGTATGAGATACAGACAAAAGGGGTGATGATATATGGCAGGAGCTGCAAATAATACAGCAAGGAATGAGCAAAGGATGAGAGCCACTATCAAAACAACCAAAGACGATGAATCCTTTTCATTGTCAACCAGAGGAACTTTAATCAGCATCACATGATTACTGGTGGTTGGGATGATTCTAACGGCATTTATAATCGGCCACTTCTTCTTAAAGCAAGCAGTGTCTTCTAAAACCGCAGCCATGCATTGACAGTCATCCATCAGTTCCTTCTTGCAGCTTTCCAAATCCGCGTTATTTATGACTTCTAGATTAAGAAAAAAAAGGCCATCGTTTGGTATTATATCAGCATCTTGAACTTCTTTCACTTCCACCTTGAAGTTTGGGGTAGAGGAATTTGCAGCACACAAGTCCTTGGCCTGACTAAGATAGCACCCTTTGGAGGGTGCACTTGGATCAAAATGAGTATAGCCAGGCAAGCATTCACAACTATATGTTTCGTTGTCAGAACCATTGCAAAAGCCATACACCCCACAAAGGGCCGTTATAGTGCAAGGCTTTTCCACGACCTTCCCCTCAACAATCCACTCACTTCCATTTTCTTTTGGGTAAATCAACTTCTGAAAATTTCCCTGGTCATTGACCAGCGCACGATGGTAGTAATCTTCGATTGTACCTATTTCCTGAGTTTCCAACATGTTATATATGATTTGGTTGGTGTCATTAACCGCGTAAAGAGAAGCTGTTGTTTTGTTAAAAACAATTCGCACACCTTTGTTTTGGGTAGTGTCACTCCACCAGTAGGCAGAATCTGTGTACCGATAAGCTTTAAGAAGAATGTTGCCATCATATTGGATCTCCAAACTGTATTGCCCTGTTGAGTAGTCTACGAATCCATTGGTATTGGAGAAGAGCTTTTGACCAGTATTCAAAGTTTGGCCTAATAGAAGAGTATCCGTGGGTGAATCAAAGCTCTGCCAAATAACTTTGGAAAGTGAATCCATCAAGACGAAATTCCCATCGTTCTGCATCACCGCAGAAGTTGTGTTTGTTCCATTGTATATTGGAAATAAAGCACCATTGATAGGTTGGAGCAAAAATTGACCACTTCGTGTGAGATTGATGGTCGATCCAATTTCAACCGGTTTGTCACGGTTTGCAGACCAAACCAGTGTTTTCTGTGGAATCTTGTCAAACCAAATTCCAACTAGATAACGGCCACTACGAAGGTGATAGAAGCCAAAGGCATAATCACCAGAGGATGATCGCCAAGATGAATTGGTGCCAGCGACAAAGCTGGACCCTAGTTCAATTGAGTTAGCCTTCCTTAGAACAAAGGAACATAAAAGAAAAATAACCAGAAATTTGGTAGCCATTTGATTGGAAAGGTTAACGAGGAAAAACTGAACAATACATACTTGCATATGCTGAATGAAAGTCATAAATAATAGGCTAAGAAATTTCAAATTTGTTGGCAATGATGCAGTGAAGACTTCTTCAACAGCAATTAGTCAAGTCATTAGCTTACTTTTCATCATTCGACCAGTTCAACGATAGTGTCACATGGATATGGATAAAGACTGAGTTGAAATTTCAAGAAAACATGAATTTTACTTTTGAATGAAATATCGTGATTGACATAAAACGAGAGAAGCATTTAAACTTGTACTCACGAAACCACCACGAAGAGCATGCATCCAAGGAGGGAGAAATAAGGACAACAAAAGAAAAATGAAAAAATGTCTTACCTGGTCTGGTCTGACTGAAGTGTGAGAGACAAATATAAAAAATAATAAATAATAAAAAAATAGAAAAAAGGCATAGAAAACCTGTACAAATGAATGTATGAATGTTGAAGAAATGAGAATAGTTAATCAAATACTCAAAATGAACTGTTTACTGAAGTTTTCGGAATTAAATTTTTACTTTCATAAAAGTATATATATATTATAATTTCGTGCATTGAAATATTTTATAATTTGTTAACAAAATAATTAATACTTTTCCTTTTTTTCTTTTAAGTATATTTTTTCTTCTTCTATAGAATACTAAACTTTTCTAACAGAAAGGTGTTTAAAGAATAAATAAAGACAAAAAGGTATGGAAGGTGTATTTAACAAAAGCTACCTATTCTAGTAAAAAAGCCCAATTTAGATAACTTGTTCAAACCTCGTAATCGTAATAGTAATGGGCCTCGACGACAATCCACGACCCATCAGTTTAACCGGGTTATGAAAGCGTCAAGTTTTCGCTTAGTAGTGTACTTTGTTTTAATTAAATCAATGTCATTGATCCCCAAATATCAGATAAATATTCGACTAAAAAAAGCAAAAATAAATCGATATGCAAAATCAAACAATGATATTGGTTTCTGGCATAAACACTAGAAGGAGATTAATATTCAAAATAAAATCGAAATCATTTTTGAACTAAAGTCTTTCGCCATGCATTATTTCCATTATTCTACATACAAAATGCAAACATCAGACAAGTCATGTATACCAAGTTCTGTCGCTGAAGCAAACACAAGGAAACAACAACATAAAAAAAGAGGATAAACTGTGTTGTGTACTAGTTTAACACTTTATGCCTTCTTCCGGAGAGTAAGCAAATCCAATGAGGCACCGTAAGTTCTATTTAGCGCCTGAGCGCACCAGCCATGGTCATCATCCACAGTTGGCATCCTTACTTCCATAACAGGAATTGCAGGTTCGCGAGAACCAGGCATCAGGACAATAGCTAAAACTCTTAGCACGTTTGCAGCGTCTATGTCCATGCAAACATTGATTTCTGGGACTCCTTTGGGAGCAGCAGGTATTCCCATTATCTTGAAATATCCCAATAGGTGGTTTTCTTCTGCCTTTTTCCCCTCACCTTCATAGACAAGGATCAATGCCTCGGTTTGATTATCATGAACAGTTGTGAAAACTAGCTCCTTCCGTGCTGGCATTGTGGTATCCCTAGGAATTACAGGGACAAAGTTGTTCCCATCCGCTCGAATCCCTATGGCAAGAGGTGTAGCTTGGATAGTTAACAAGTCCAAGTTCCCAAAGGGATCATTGATGCCTGAAGCCACGGCTCCTTCCACTGCTGCACCGCAAACAGCAGCTTCCAAAGGATTCATGCCTTCATAAATTTTCTTCCCTTTGCATATGTTATTGACCAGATTCTTCACCCTTGGGATATAAGAGCATCCACCTACAATTATCACATCATCTAAATCTTCAACTTCTAACTTGGCATCTTGCAAACACTGGATGATAAGGCTTTCACATTTCTCAAACACCTTTCTGTTTACCTGCTCAAACACCTCCCGATCAACAACCTTGCATATCTTCAAACCATCGCCCAAGTCTACATCCACCTGAGTGCAGGACTGGGAGGAAAGCCTGTGAATTGCATCCTGAGTTGCAATTCGAAGCAGGCCCATCTGTTTAATTTCTTTGATCCCGTGATTCTTAAATAGATTTTGAGAATCTGGTAAGAGATGTTGCATCATATTCTGAAGCAAGTCTTCACCACCAATGGTACTTCCTGCCAAGGCTTTAATCTGCGATACTCCTCCCGCTGTAGCAGTTACAGCAACATCACAATAACCAGCACCCATATTGAAAATGAGAGCAATTTTCTCACTTCCACTACCCATATTCTCATGAGAAGTCTGCTGTTGTTGCTGTCCATATAACAAAGCCACAGCTGTAGGTTCGGGCATCAACCTGAGAACATGAAGGCCAGCCATGGCACACGCACGCTCTATCCTGGTTAGCTGAAATCGACTGAATGAAACTGGAACTGTAAGAACCACATTTCTTATTCTTCGTTTCAGTTGAGCTTCAGCCATTGCTCTTAATTCCACCAGAAATATTGCCAGGACTTCCTCTGGAGTGGTGGATCTCCACATATTGTTCACTAATGGGGCAATTAATGGGCGAACACCAATGTCCAAAGTCTGCACTAGAAATGGAAGATTCTTACATGCATGGACAACTGGGTCAGTATCAACTCTGCCAATCAAGCGTTTCATGTTGAAAATCGCGGCTCCAGAAAACATCTCGTCCTCGTGGGAGAGTTGACTACTAACTCCACCAGAAGGAATGTTATCCTTGAAGGTTACGTATGATTTCATAATCTTCTGATTCCTCGTGTTCTTCAAAAGCTCCACTTGGGAACCATTCCACACAGCAACACTACATTGTGATGTGCCGATATCAATTCCAATAGCTATTTCAGGAAAAGTAGTTGATTTTTCTTCTCCAGTGGTTTCACTATCAGATGTCACAGTATATGCAGGTTCAACCATTCTGCATTTAACAGACAGAAGAAAGTTGAGATTCACCCCAAACATTATAATGTATTAGCAGAACACTCTGAATCTGAACTCATAGCTTAGGTAAGTAACATTCTATTCAGTTATCAACTTATCTTATCATTATTTTGTTTGAAATTTTTATCTTACCGCATGACCACCACATAAGTGAGGAACAGAGCATACATAATCTTCCGAAACAACGACGCAAAATAAAATAGGAAACATTCTGATGTCGTTCAACAACAAATAAAGATAGGGCTCCCGATTCCATTCCCTTGGTTAATGAGAACAAGTGATATCTTATTACCGAAAATTCCACCGTGTTTGGGAAAAATCACAGACTCGAAGTCCCGATGTGATAAACCATAAAACACATTTCACCTGGTTCTTCTTCGTTGTTACAAAGATCTACACTACAAGCTGCTAACTAGAGTGATTTCGCTCAAGTAAACACAATTCTACAGCAAAAAGTCTCACTAACCGCGCATTATCCTTCTTAAACATCAACCAACTTCGTTACACGTCTCTTTCAAAGTTGTAGACTAATTTCATTAACACACGAGACCTAACAACAAATCTGTTGCTCTAATTGGATACGTATAGGCAACGAGTCCTCACCAAGTACATAGTTAAAAAAAGGCAGAGAAAACAGAAAACAGTTCAAATTCTTACTTTCTTTAAATACATTCCCCAATTTGGACATGGAAGCAAAACTGTGTTTGTAGTGTGAGTGTGTGAGTATGACGATCACGATTCCATTGGTGGAGTATAAACTATAAATTGAAATAAAAAGAATTAGCATAACAAAAGAGAAGAAGTGAAGAGATGACAAACCTGATTAGCGCAGCACAATTTGATGGAATGAGAAGCAAAAGCAACGATAACAATTGAGAATACACACACACACAAGCTAACTAACTAATATAGAGCTGCTGCACATGCACTTCTAGACCCTCCCAGAAACCGTCTAATACTTTCTCTTCGGTTATTCAACTTATATTACATTTATTTTTAATTCTTATTCATCGCAAGTATTTTAATTAATTTCAATTTTAATACAAAATGAAATGATTACATTAATTTAATGAAATAATAATTTTATCCAAAGCCAAAAATAGTTTTTTTCTTTTTAACTGAAAATAGTTTTTAAATAAATAACACATTAGTTTTTAATTTGTTATTTGTGTATGGATATGTTTATCATTTACCACGTGCCAGAAGTGTCCAGACAGATTTCGGTGGACAACGTGGCTTAAGGAACGTACTGGTGTCATGTAATGTAATTACTAATTGGGGTTACCAATGCCCAGCTCTCTACCTTGTGAGCTTATATTTTCTTGGGCCTGGGCCTTAGGCCCTCCTTGTAAACAAAATTAAAAAAAAAAAAAAAAAGGTTATTCTCATCTACTTTGCAGATAATGAATCAGACATTCCCCAGAACGAAAAAACAAATTCTAGAAGTCACTTTAAATAAATAGTGTAGAAAAATTAATTGTATTCATAGCTAAGCGACGCTGCACCGGTTGTCCAAACTCAATACTCCACCATCAGATAGAACTGGATCGTCTAGGTAGATTAATTGTTAAAATTGCGTTATAAATAGTTATTATTATTTATGAACGATAAAAAATTATTTATTTATTAGATCAGCCAGCTATTTACAATACTAATTTCATAAAGTATAGACGACAGACATCTTATAATGACGAGTAAAATGAAACAACGTCTTTCTTTCAACTACATTTGTATTAAAAATTCACTGATGCCCATCGCCACGTAACGTTTCTCCATCACCTTTAAAATTCACAATCTTGTGATCTACCAATAGAGCCAAATCTCCATAGTGTGACTATTTATATATTACATGACACTTGTCCCCCAACCAATAAGAGTATAGATGAAGATGAGTATGCATATATTGGCCTAATTTGGTCCACACTCCACACTAGTTCATTTAAACTCGCAATTAAATACACTAATTTAATTGGTCCGTATAAGATCACGATTAAATGGATTAGTTTGTAAACCGATTTCCATATTCTTCTTTTAAACACTTGTTTCTTTTTAAGATAGTTAATGAACTAGTTACTCGATATTTTGGTCTCTGTGTTACTTGATCTTTTATTTTTTAAAACAATAATTATTTAGTCTCTATTCATACGACAACTTTTCGTTTTAGTTCTTCACTTCCTATATTTAAGAATTTTTTTACATTTTAGATTTTTAACTATACACGTGTATATATATATAGA